AAGGCTAAACAGGAAAACAGTGGGGGAATTTCAGTCATGCACAAAAACGTGATGCGTAGGTGATCATCACACCCTGCTTAATGACAGGTTGTCTGGACTAAAGGTTAATAACACAGATTTCATTTTCCTGATATTTCAACGGGGATTTTACAAGTTAATTGCATGTTGTGTTGATGCTTGTTTACTGCTGTAAATTCTTTCCATGTTGCCCCACATTGTCCATGTTGCTGATTCTAACTCCTAATCAAAATGAAGACAGAGATTTCACTTTTGCCCCTCAATACTACATAAACCTACCATTAATGCGGCGGGATCAACTCACCTTCCCAATTAATTCATTTGAAAGATTCCACTGTGTTTGAGAAACCGGCCTACAGGATGATGACGGGATGCTACCTGAAGAAGTTCACAATGAAAACATTCATTAAAGTTCAAGCATTACAGTTAACATTTTTATACAGATACTAAAGGTGTCTGCTAAATGAAACATAGTACATGAAACCTAAAGTAAAGCCAGACCAAATGTTCTGAATCTGGAACACTTTTGATTAATGGAAAAAAAGACATGGAAAACTAAAAGAGTCTTAAAAAATATGAATTACGCTCAAATAATTATTTATGAACAGAACATCATAACAGCATTTCTGGGTATCTAAACACAACTTTGATGCCCAAACACTAGATTCATAGCAGTTAAAATGCAGTTATTATTGAAGCATCGACATGCTTTGAAAAATTGTCTACCTGTTGTATTTGAGGATGAAACAGCACTGAGGCTGAAGGAAATGCCAGACAAGTTTCCAACCAGAAAGGATGATATTCTCGGACCAGATGCCAGAATAAACGCAGGCTGAAACACTGAAATAATCATACATTCATATATTCCATATTGACTTCAGGTATGCATTTGTGTATGTACATTTGTACTGTTGCGTTTGGAATATAAGGGTTTATTTAAATGCGCATTAAGTTATTAATTAATACAGCGTTAATTAAGATCATTAATACATGTCTTAAGTGTACATTCAAGCTGTGTTTCTCCATGGCAACAAGATGTTTGCTAGCAGTTATCCAGCTAACGTAGCTGACTTTGTTTTGGGATTCACACTGACTTGTCTTAACTGATATTTAATTCGCTCAAAGCTCACTTACCAACATTACAGATAGTTCCGTCATTTAAGAGCATAATAATTATACACAGAAAATGAAATGCGACGTGAGAGGATAATAATCGTGCCATAATGTGGCGCAGGTTTAGTGAAACCTCTTCTTCGTGTTGGCGCTACACAGAATAGATCGCCTCATTAGCGCCGCTCAGTGGCGTTTAGCGCTGGTGCGTGTGCTTGAATGACCTAACAGCTGTGGATTTGAGGAAATACAATCAGACCGAATCTCTAAAGAAGCAGCTTAAATCTTAATGCAGGCACTAAATAATATCTTTATAGACTTCCAAAAGCCAATGTATTTTAGGGTTAGGATTAGTCTGCAATCACTGGAATTCACTCTAAAGACCCAATAAAAAGTTCCCTTTTACACACATTTGTGTGTTTCTGACCACCTAGATGTTCACTTGGGTACAAAATTATGTATAAAAATGAAAAATGATTCATAAAGAGACTGTAAATAATACTTTTATTCAGTTTTAAACTGTCAAAGTTGTATTTTAGGGTTTAGGAGAGTTTATGGTCATTTTATTTAGTAGGCCTATTACTGTGCAGTTAAGTGTAATTCCCTATTTAGACAGATGAATGTGTGTTTATGTGTGTATGTGTGTGAGAACTTTTTAAATATACAGTTTACCATGTGTTTATGCATGTATCATGTCTATGAAGTCAGGACTTAATATGAAAAATACAATCCCACCAATATTTTTTTGTCAACCAATTTATTCACTTTAAAAATGCAACAAGATGATTATCAAAATAGAACAAAATAGAGTAATATGTTCACACAACAGCAACTACAGGGAAGATCAGACCACTTGGACTGTTTTGATAATTTAGGTTGAAAATGCTGAAAGAGGAAGAACCTAAATGTGTTACAGAAACTGAAGTGAGCTATGTCACAATGACTACATCAGCTGCCATTAAAAGTATATATGTATGTGTATGTGTTCAGTCAAAAAGACAAATTCTTCAGGGCGTGACAGCGTTTCTCCTGAAATAAAAGAACACAGAGAAAACCATTAGTTACAGCCTGCTTATAAAGAGATGTTACACTTTTACTCGACTTGAATTTAATTGTTCTAATTGTTCTTATCTGAATTATTTGAAATATTGATTTGCTGCACATGTATAATGCAACATGCATGGTGGTCGGCTTAAAGGGATAGTTCACCCAAAAATGAAAATTCTGTCATCAT